TTTTTTTTTTTTTTTTTTTTTTTTTTTTTTTTTTTTTGCTGGCCAGATAGGTTGATAAAGATGTATTTCAAATGGGATATGGGAAAAATGGATTTTAATATGTAACAAAAAAGTAAATGTGCCTGTAATAGACACAAACACTATGTATCATGAGCATCAAAAGCACAAATTTGCCAGGAGTGGAAGGGCAATGATAGAATATCTTCAGCTAAACCATAAAGTAGATTAGTTACATCTTCACCTGTGGACTGCAGGGCAAGTTTCTAGTGGAGTTAAGTCTGAGGATCAGAGCAGCTTATATCCACATCCACAGAAAAATACTACAAATCTAAGCTGCAAGGACATCAACATTCTCCATTATTATATTTAGTTGAGTCTATCCATTGCAAGAGAAAGGCAAATGATAACCACAAACAGATACTGGGTTATTATTACTACAGTCATGACTTTCCAAAATTATTTTCCACTTTTATAGCATCTTTCATGAAATAATAGCACCTTTGCATACAAATTCACAACAATTCACAATCATACTTCACCAATGTAAGGCACTCGAGGTCTGTCAGTTACTAATGGTATCAAAAGTTTGGCAAAGAGTCTAATCTGACAAAGTGGGAATTATACATGTGGTGTACTCCCTTAAAATAAACTCCTTGGTACGCACAGTATTTACCTTAAAGGGCTGAGAGAGAATGTGAAAGGAAATGGAAATTTTAAACAACTTGCTCCAAAATATAACGTTTTCAACAGCTGACAGATAGCAAAGATTCGCATGAGTGTTTATAAATCCTTTCAAGTAGTTGTATCAACTTCATCCTACAGAGGAATACAGCATTACAGTATTGCCCTAGCAGTGGTATGCCAAATGACTCGTACTGTTCTCTGTATTTAAACAAAGGAAACATTTTGCACTTCAAATGTGCATCGCATCATCCTTTTAATTCAAAGCACTCTAAATATAACATCATATTGCTTCCTATTTTAAACAATATCTTGCTCATGGTTTTGACTTACAAAGTGGATATCCCATCCCTTACTTATTAGAACTATGTTTGAGAGAAATATGACAGTGCAGAGTAATTTGTTTTCTTTCCTACAAAGCAATACTGATCTATTCAAAATGAAACCATAAAAATACAGAAACAATACTTTGGTAGATGAAGGTATGAAAGGAAAACTAAGAGACAACTTTCACTTTTTATTTACACTCTCCAGCATTTCTCTCTAATGTAAATACAAAGTGTGAGAGGTAACATTCTCTAATACTTATTTACTAAGGTCTAGCAAAACAAAAATATAACTTCTGAAGAAGTAACCAACAGGCTCACCAGGGCTCTTTACTTTTATAAGAAATAAAATAACAGAGGGGCTTCTTCTTTTCCATAGCTCAGAGCATTATAACATGTTTACCCAAGTTCTTGGTGTAAGAGCACGCAACAAATGAGACACATAGGTCTTAATTTAGAACTACGGCGCAGAAGTCACAAAACATTCACTCTTCCCAATTACTAGCTAATCTAATGCTAAAAGCATGCAAATCAAGATCCCCAGCCATACAGTGAAGCCTCATAGGACACAAGGTTCTGTAAGTAACAGGGTAAAAGCATGCCCTTTTACAATAAATAATGATTAACTTGATAGTTGTAATGCTACTAGTGATTACAAGGTCACAACTTACTTGCTTTTAGCCTAGGGAATAGAAAGAATATTCACATAAGCTCACAGGCTTAGAGGTACAGTAATCCTAATAATAAAGTTAGGAGAAACTGCAACAGAATAATTACAGCTGCTATTATGCATAATGGAAGAATAGAATATTCAAGAGCATTTGCTCCTGAAACAAGCGTACTTTGTCAGAGATCACTGGTCAGGCTACTTGCTATAATTCTTAGTATTGAAATTTTTGTGACACAACATATATATATGTTATATATATATAAAGTTGCGCATACGCCACCATTTTTCATCTCACTTGAAAACAGCCCATTTCATTTAATAAATTTGGGAATTCATACATTAATAAGAGTTCCCTTTTTCCATATCGTTATACATGAAGAGCTTGTAATAATCAGAGAATCAATGCAACATAGGACAAGAAGGCATAAATGGACATCAAGGAAGGATGTTCATATAATGACAAAAATCTTTAACTGCACATCCAGAATTACAAAAAGTCGTCCCAAAAAATCCACAACATGAAATTAACAAATCATAATACAGTTATTTGTGTCACTTAAATTCAGTGCTGCAATTCACTTGAAACCTATTAAAAAAGAGCTAGATGAGCACAACAAGCTGCAAAATTCTAAGCAACCAAAAACATCTCAAGTGAGAATTAAAAGAAAACCAGCAGTTTTGGAAAGAAAATAACAGGCATTAAAGCAATGAAAAACGTTGAAATTACAAGTTTCAATCACTGCTTTTCCCTATACATTAGAATTAATACTCATATACAGTTAAGTCCACTCTAGTGATAGAATTATGTCAGGTGGCTAAAAGCACTCCAGAACGACAGATCAGCTTGAGAAAATGAAATGCCTGGTCCACCTTAAGTGTCTGGGAATAAATCATAAAACATATATACTTCCAATAGAACCTTTACACAGAATGCTTGCCAAGGTGTCAAGAAGTACCACCACCTTCAGGAACTATGAAGCAGCAATATGGCTGCTTCAGAAAGAGGACAGAGTGAAAGAAAGGGAAAGAGCGATTTATTCCTTGCTTCTTATCACAGCTTTTAATTTCAGACTCAGCAGGAGCCACAATGGTAAGCACACAAAGTCAGCTAGACATTTTAGAAGACTATTACAAATCAAATTATTGGAAATCATACCACAATATCTTCACAATGAGACAATACAATATCATTAGAAGCATGCATTTGATGGATATATGACTACATGCTGACTGGGCTTCACTCTCCCTCGCACTCATAGCTTTCAGACACATTCAGTATAGATCACTCTTCAGGGAGCACAGTAAATAGATAGAATTCCAAAGTGATGACGTACTCCTTCAAGCAATTCTGCAAAAGAGGGTTATGTTCCTTATAATTATATCCTGTCAGACTTACTTAAGTGTCTAATAAATCTTGGCAAGGAAATTAGCATTTTATTAAAAGCACTAGGATGGGTGCTTTTTTTTTTTTTTTTTTAAATGGAAAACATCCATGCACAAAGAAGCATGTTAGATTAAAATAAACTTCTACTTCAGTGCTGCAGTCCAGAATAAAATGAGAGAGAATTCTTCAGACACTGAAAATTCATTAAAATTAGTAATATTCTATATTAGCCATACTTCAAAAGAGGAAATGTTTAGTCAAGATATATCGAAGGAAGAGCTTAGATTTTAATCATCCTCTGAATACATACCACTTTCCTCAGCCATCAGGAAGACTGTTTATCCTTTTTTAAGTTGGATAAGCAAATAACTACAGTGTTTTTCACATCTCTTATGGATAAAGAACAGTTAACCACATGCTCTTCCATGTGAGTATAGAAACAACACTCCAGAGCAATACCAGATGACCCTCTAGCATTTAAAACTTTGGCTTCAAAGGAAACATAAAACTGAGATCTCAACCAGAGTCAGTCAATAAACTTTTGGACTAGAGAAATCTTGAAAAAGATCTTTCCAGCTATTGAGTTAAAACCAACCCAATAATATTCTATTTTCTGTCCATTCTTATGTCAGAGACAAAAAAAAAACAAAGAAAGACAATTGAAAAAAGAATATGAAACTGTTTTTCCTGGTTTCCTATTCCTCTTCTCCTTTCCGGGGCAAATTTCTGGCTCTGCTTCTGTAATATCTTCTGAGATTCTCCTACACTTGATTGGTCATCAATGATAAACAGGTAACACTTATGAAAAGGGAAAGCATAATGTATGTTATACCTTAGTTCTGTTCTTAGACTGTAGAATTACTGTACTATGATGATTTTACTTTGGCCTTGAGACTACCTGGGGTTTCTTGACAGAAGCTGAACACCAGACTATAGACTACTACAAAAGATTCTGTGCCCACTCCATGCTTTTCTAAGATATTAAACACACGAGCAACCCCAAACCCTAGACCAAGTTCTCTCTGAGTGAATGCTACACGTTTCAAACTTCAGCAACTGTTCTGAATTGTTATCAAACCTGTTTTTAAGGTTTTGAGCTTATCCAGAAAATCAGGAAAAAAAAAAAAAGGCTTAGCATCTGCTAAATAAATCCTTAGTTTCTACTAGTTGTAATGTTATGTAATTAACATTAACTAAAAAGAAATAAAGCCTCTTTATGAGTTATCAAGGTAGTTCATCGAGAACTTTTTCTCAAAAAAAGAAATCTTGATTTCTATATGACTAGGAAGATATTAAAAATGTTTTCTTTACCACTATCTGTTTACTTTGCTTTTACTGACACCGAATTTTGGGAAGTTTTATTCTCAAAAATGTTTTCACATAATAAAAGTGTTTGTGTAACAAAGAAAAAACTAAGCAATTCTCTACTATAATTACAGTTGTTTGACACCAATTGAGAAAGCAAGATGCAAAGAAATTTACTATCAGTGGGCAGTGAGTTCATAATTTCCAGACAGACAGGAGACATTTCCAACAATACCTGCATTGATGCTCCTTCCACTCTGGCTACACAGGCAACTCTATCTAGGAAGGTCACAGTTACAGGAACAGCAACAAAGAAACCTTTAAAGAAGGCTTTAAGGTATCTTCTCCCAAAACCTTGAGCCTGTGCCATAATCTGAAAAAGATTAAGGGCAGAAAAAAGTTATTATAAAACAATATTTAAGTAAGTGTTGTCTGTATTCATGGAGTGAGGAAGAGTTAAGTTATTAACTCTTCAGGTCTCCCAATATCCACAGTGAGAAAATGAACGTGTACATGAGAATGAACAAGAACAGCAATCTACATTAAAAAAAAAAAAAAAAATTCAAAAATAAAAGTCAACCATACAGAAGCAAATTTGATATTCAACATTTTCTTTTTATATAATTTGACCATTTCTTGTGATCCTCTGCTAGCAGAAGTGCTCCATAAAAATGACTCAATGATAGCAGTTCAGCTAAGCAAGAAGCAAACTGACAGAATCACAAAAAATTTAACTATGCATTTCTGAAAAAAATATCAGCTATATGGAAACAATCACAAAACATTCAATTGGAGTGCAAATTTCTGTAAATTTTCTCTCCACACACTGGTAATTACACATTCATGAACCACAAAGATTGACTGCATTATGTAAAGGAAAAGCTGAGAGTTTCCAACACAAGGGCATTTCTTTATTAAAACGTTCCATACACACAAGTCATGTATCATTTATACATTGATGGTAACTGCAAATATTTAATATCAATTCAAATTGTCACACATTTTACAGGGATACACAGTAACATAATGACACCTTATTTTCTACTACATTAAGAAGTTAAAAGCATAGTGATAGACTACACAGCTATGACATAATGACACCTTACTATTCACGTCGCCATGCATTATGCTATTGGTTTTACTTAGCCCTGAACCAAAGAACATTCTTGAAAAGACAGCTCCAAAGTACACTGAAATAAAAAATTTGCTTGATCAAGCAAAGTGAGTACTCGGCAGTGCTGCAAAGGTACAAGCCTACTTTTCTTTACTGCAATTGCATTCATCCCCTGACAGTTACTGAGCCTTTTTGGCTCAGACTGCAGCAGACCCTCCAAGATACCCTTCACGTGGGTTGGTGATGACCTGGGAGGACTTTTAAAGGAAATGAGCAGTACAAAGATGAGCTCCCCTGAGCAATTTACAAAGCGGTCAAATTGGAAATGAATTGGGCTGTTTCTAAGATTTTACTAATTGATGTGATATTTTAATTAATTAACCCCTCCATACAAGACAAGGCTGTGACAGACACCAGTGTTAGGGTATGAAAGCCATGCGGGTAGGCAATGCTTGAACGATAAGGCACAGAAACGTGCTTCAGCAGCTCTGAAAGTTCAATTTAATAAACTTATTTTATCAGAAAGACAAGATTCCTCAGTGCTGTATCATAAGAAATACAGTTCTTCACCTATTGGCAAATCCAATTTAAACCTTTGTTTCTCTCTAATGAATACCTGGTACAGACTGTGAAAGATCAGTTTGCAGAGCCCCTGCTCCCTCTATCACATCATAAATCTGACAGACAGTAATAGAAGAAAACAGACTGTGCCCTGAACTTCTGAGTCCTTCAGTATGTTTAAATTCAAGGACAACAAAAAAAAAAAACAGAAATATACATAGTTTGGTTCAATCATCTTAACAGAACATTAAGAATTTCACAATACAATCATTTTTTCTCTGCTGCACTTTCAGAAATATGGAGGTAATTCATTATTTGTATGCAAGGTACAAACCTCAAATTATTCTGATGAAATACTACTGAAAGCAGTATTTCTGCCATAGATATGGCTACTTAACTCTACAAAGCATTACACTTTGGAAAGCCAGTTCTACAAAATAACGCATCAGCATATTCCTCACTTGAATTCTTTATAGATACTAATAGCTTTGCAATGACAAGATCTGTCTTCTAAAAGACTGGAACACCCTTAGTATTATTACTGACATTCACCTTCACAACATTTGAAGTTCCCTTTACTTTTTTTTTTTTTTTTTTTTTTTTTTTTTTTAAAGCTGGAAGTATTTCACTGTCACCTATAACTTTTGCTAACAGAAGCTGAACGGTTGCAAGAGAGCTCTGAGCTCCCTTACACGTGCGGCAAGTGAGGTGCAGACTCCCTTGCTGATGCAGAACAAAAGACCTTTATTGTAGGTGCTTACAACTTTTTATACTCACACAACAACTGGTCAGATGTAGGATCCAGGTGCCTCGTGTGTGTTTACATCTGGCTCAAGTTACTGCTGAGCTTTTTTACTCATTAGCAGATAACGACTTTCTTTGTTCCACATCTCCCCCTTCTCTATTAATAAAAAAAGAAGCTCGGTTCAGAAACATTCCTAAAACTAACTGAACTAAAATTAAAACACTGAATAAACAATGGGTTCTTTATAGAGTACAAACAATAGACCATTTCAACCAATCCCAACGATTCCAATTCTTAGGACTCCTTGGTGATGCAGTCCACACGTGAAGTGTGTTTTGTCCCATCTTGTTGGTGAGAATCCAAACCACTGATGAAAGTGCTGTGATCATGTTAAGGCAGATGATGAGACGGATGGCCAGACCCATTCTGCTGGTATCCATCTAGGACCTGTTCCTGTTAAGACACAAGCATAGCCTCGGCCCCACGTTATCACTGTCTATCGATTTAGAAAATTAAGAACAAAGCATGCTTTAGCTACTCCTTCCTGAAGGGTCATACCTGCACTCCCCTTTTTTTGTTGTTTTTGGTTGGTTGAAGTTTTTTTTGTTTGTTTGTTTTGTTTGTGTGTGTGTGTGTTATTTTATAGTGAAATCTTTTTTTTTTTTTTTTCTTTTTCTTTTTTTCTTTTTTAAATCACTAAATTACATAGTTAGAACTACAATTAAGAAAGCCAGGCAGGTGCAGGTAAGACATACAGTTGTGAATACCCACATTACATTCTTAAACACCAGAAGATACTCAGCCAGTTGAGTTGGATTCTACAACCAAATCTGAGATGATTTGAAAATGAGAAAGCTTCCTACATTGCCAATCTACTGCACATGAATGCACATCATTTTATAGCAAATACTGTTTTCTAATTTAGAATACAGATATAGCACACCTTTCAAACACACTTTCAGTGTTGTTAGGCCTACCTTAGAATTTTCTGGAGCACTGAACAACAGCTACAGCAGCTGAAAGGTTCAAAAAATACACTGCAACAATGGTAACAGCTGGAATTAGTGCATGTCCAAACACAAGCATTCGCAGCTCCTGCTTCCACACACTGATGAGCACCAAGGCTGAAGATTTCATCCTCCTTCTCTTGCGTTGGTGAACGAGCCATTGCCCCAAGGTCTGCAAGCTTTGCTTCCAGTTGCTGAGGTCCAATAGCATCCACTACAGCACATTTGTTGTACAAATTCCTTCCAAATAGGATTCTTCAGAGCAAGCAGCACCTCATAGCAGACAGCATTCCCATTTTCAATCCCTGCTTTCTCCAGAGAAGGGCAATCAGCTGGGGACAGTAAGACTTCTCTCAATCTTTCAATACATTCAGCAGGACAGGGCCTCTTTCAGCCCATTTCTACTGTAGGACTGTGACTCCCTCTTTTTTTCTGGAGCTTCTTCCAGCTCTTTCTTTTGCTAGAGCTTCTTCCAGCTTTCTTTTTCGCTAGCACTTTGCACTTCTAGTTGCAGTGTAATTGCCAGGTCACAGCCTGAACCAATGGCTAGGCACCAGGTGAGAAGGTTTGGCTAACCCATGGAGCTCAAGTGCACTTAATGTACCTGAGTGACCTGAAGGAGTGGAGCCAGGATCCACACGTTTTCACCCTCATTAAGAGATGCTGCCAGAAGAGCACCATCTCTCTAGATAGTGACTCTACTCCTTCCTCTTGAGCTGTCAGCGGTTGTTGGAAGGAGAGAGGCAATTCTCTTTCTCTGTTACCTGCTGTTGTTCTGTATTGCCCAAATCCCATTATAAGGTACTCTCATAGTCTTCTTTTTGCTGTCAGCCAGTTTTCTGGATGGAATTTACTCCAGGGGCATGAGGTCTGGCTTCACAAACCTCATCCACTCTTGCAGCAACAGCAGCCACAAAACACTGTACTTTGGCCATCCCCACAAGCATTTCCACAACTATCTATGAACAGTTCCTCCTTGAGGTGAAAGACATAATATGATAGATCTATCAGATACAACTGGCCTGAGAAACTTTTTGAGAACTTTAAGAAATGGATACACTTGCTTACTTGTTAAATTCCTCACAGTCCAGCCTATTTTTCATTGAAATATGAATGTTAACCCCATTTCTTCTACTAAATGTATTCAAAGATCTTGTTATAAACTTCTTGCAAAAGACCCAAGCTAACATCTATAGGAAAATCTAGCACCTGAAGAAAAACAATTCGTCAGAGAATCCATGGGAAACCTCACACATGTTCTTGGAACTAGAAACTTATAGTGAGAAAGAATCCAGCAGCCAGATTTAAAACAGCAAGATAAAACACAGCATTCCCACTACATCACTTGGAAACTGGAGAGGTATTAAGCAGCTGTGGACAAAGCTGGGATTTCAGGACCTTTATAATATTTACAAGGTGCAGCAAAACACCAACAGCAACTGTACAAGCAATTGATTTTCAAAGCCAAGAAGAATCATAGAATAGCTCAGGTTGGAAAGGACTTCAAAGATCATCAAGTCCAACCACAACCTAACCATACTACCCTAACAACCCTGGTGGACAACAGGTTGGCCATGAGCCAGCAGTGTGCCCTCGTGGCCAAAAAGGCCAATGGCATTTTGGGGTGCATTAAAAAGAGCGTGTGCAGTAGGTCGAGGGGTAGATCTATTCTGCCCTGGTAAGGCCTCATCTGGAGTACCGCATCCAGTTCTGGGCTCCCCAGTACAAAAAAAGACAGGGACCTCTTGGAAAGAGTCCAGCGGAGGGCCACAAAAATGGTGAAGGGCCTGGAGCATCTCTCCTATGAGGAAAGGCTGAGTGAACTGGGTCTGTTTAGCCTTGAGAAAAGACGACTGAGAGGGGATCTAATCTAGGTTTATAAATATCTGAGGTGTGGGGGCCATAGTGGTGAGGCCAGTCTCTTTTCAGGTGGTACGTGGAGACAG